AAAATGTGAAAGAGACAGCATTGTTTTCCTGCTTTAAATTTATCATTGGCTAACCCATTACATTATACTTGAAATAAAATCCCAGCTCCTTTCCACAATCTGTTACTGTTGATTGGGTCACAGGGCTCCATTGCCATGATCTACCCATTCCTAAATGAGCTAGACCCTCTCTCTACCTTACTCTCACTTTAGGCATACTGACTCCCCTTCTCTGTTGTTGTTCTTATGTGCTGTCGAGTCGGACCCTACTCACAGCGACCCTCCTTGGGTTTCCAAGGCAGTATCACTATGGAAGTAGATTACCCAGTCTTCCTTCTGAGGAGTGGCTGGTGGGTTTGAACTGCCAGTCTTCTGGTCAGCAGTCAAGTGTCTTAGGCACCATGCTACCAGAGCTCCTATTCCTCCAATATGCCAAGTTTCCTCTCTCTCTCTCTCTCTCTCATCTGAGCCTCAGCACCTGCAGATGATGCTTCCTGGAACACTCTACCTTTGATTCTTCAAAACTCACTTCTTATTTTGCAGGTGCTGCCTCAAATTTGTCCCCTCATAGGGGTCTCTATTAACCATTTAACTAGGAATCTTCCTTCTGGTACTCATATCCAAGTTATCCTCTATAACATCATCTTAATTTTTTTTCCTTCATAGCACCTACCAAACAGAGTAACTGTGTGAATTATATGATTATATGTTTCAGTCTCCACTAAAATGTAAGCTCACATTAAAATATAAACGTCTACCATCTTGCTCACCATTGTTTTCTTACTATCCAACTCTGAACACAAAGTTGGTAACACAACACAATGCATTGCTATTGAGTCATAACAACTCATAGTGACCTCTCCTTGGGTTTCTGAGGCGCTATCACTGCAGAAGTAGATAGCCTAACCTTCCTTCTAGGAAGTGGCTGGTGAGTTTGAACCACCAGCTTTCTGGTTAGCAGTCAAATGCCTTAGGTACTACGCCACCATTTCCTGAGTGAAAAAAATGAACTATTTAAATAAGACCACCTGAAGACATTGTCTATAATATCTATTATATTTCCATGCATAAAAATCCTAATGTGATACCCACAAAAAAATACCTGTAGAAAAACGTTCATAGGAGCTTTATTAATAATAGTAAAAGACTAGAAATAAATAATATGTCCGTGAAGTGGAGAATGGATAAATTACAGTATGAATATACAAAAAATATTATTCAGCAATAAAAAAAGAATGAACCAAAAACATTTTTTGAAAGAAGTAGAACAGAAAGGAGTACATTTTTTTTATGAATCCATATACATAAAATTTAAAAAGCAAATGAAACTTATTTATGGTGATAAAAATCAAAATACTGGTTACCTATTGAGGGTGAAGGAGCTCTGGTACCACAGTGGCTAAGGCACTTGACTGCTAACCACTGCTGGTGGCTCAAATCCACCAGCCACTCCTCAGAAGGAAGATGGGGCAATCTAATTCCATAGTGCTACTGCCTCAGAAACCCAAGGAGGGGTTACTATGAGTCGGGTCTGACTCGACGGCACATAACAACAACAACAACACAGAGGGTGAGGATTGACTGGAATGGAATACAGCAAACTGGAAATGTCTGCTTGAATGGTTCGTTGTATGTAAATGTTATCACAATTTTTTTTTTTAAACAGGACAAAAATTGCTAAATCTGCTCCTGCAAATATCACACAGAATGCAGAAACTGAAGAAACAGAGCCATACTGCTACCTACTTTCACTGAGATACTAATTAATTTACTCATTTGGCTGTGAAATGCTACTTAACTCTAGAAGAAAAATAAACACAAGTTTGGACCAAACTGATCAATTGATCCACGTGGCAACATACTGTGGAAAAATCTATCACTATAAAGGATGTTTTGTTATGCATTTACATATGGGTAAACTATACAAAATTATGATAGAAAGCATATATTCTTATATAGGCAATTGTACAAGGACTAATTATCAAAGAATATTAATGAGATACTCAGGTACACTGAATGGCTGTGTGACCTCAGATGTCCATCATGAACTGTGTGCTACTTACCTCCAAATTTAAGTCAGAATATGAATGTTATAGTTTTCAACTTCTTATGTCCTAAAACTGGTAGCATAGTGCTTAAGGCAATTGACTGCTAACCAGAAGGCTGGCGGTTCAAACCCACCAGCCACTCCTCGGAAGGAAGGCTGGGCAATCTACTTCTGTAGTGATACTGCCTCAGAAACCCAAGAAGGGGTCACTATAAGTCAGGTCCGACTCAACGGCACATAACAACAGCAACACATCCTAAAACACCTAAGGAAGGCTACACATGAACTCATGATGGCAAACTAATGCATGGAAGCAAAAAAAGAATATCAAACATGGAACAGATATATGTAATTAAAGAGCATTAAAAAAAAAAAAAAAAACTATAAAGCCAATAAACCTATTCCTCATTGCTAAAGGTGCATGAAAGCTGCATCTTTTGACCTCCACTAACCACACAAGAGGAAGACAGAATCACCATCAGCATCCCAAGGCCTGTTTCTGTGAGGCAAGACATGCTACCACCCTCTGGCCCTCTTACCAACCTTGACACCAACCCTCCCTCCCATGGCACCCACCACCCCTTTGCTGGGTTCGATAATTACTACAGTGACCACACAGAATTCATAGATTATAGGTTTATTAGGGAAGCAACATGCTACAATTCAAGTTCAGGAACATACTCATGGTACAGTTCTTTGATCAGGACAGTCTCCCCTCTGCTGCCCTTATACATGCCTCTCTGGCCCTTGGCCTCTCAGTCTGGCCTCTGCCTCTGTGGACCAGTTAAGCCTGCTGCTCTGTCCCATGCCTCTTGCTTCCACTGCCACCGTCTCTCAGCCAGGCATCTCTCAGCCAGGGATCTCTCTCAGCCAGGCATCTCTCTCAACCAGTAGTGAGATTTCCTCCCCTGCCTCTAGGAGGGCTCATTTTAAGCTTCACAGAGTGGCAAAACTAACCAATCCTTACATCAGAGTTCCACACACCTGAGAGAGAGCAAACTTTCCCAGAAGATTACTTCCTGCTGCTCCAACAGAAATACCCCAGGTGGATGACTTTTAACAATCAGGAGTTTAAAAGCAGCTACTCAGATGCTCACAACAAATTCCACCATAGAGTTAATTGCCAATCTTAATATAGGAAATAACTAGTACCAGCTGCCCAGCCCAGTTGACACATATTTGTATGGTCCCACACAGTAATCCAGTGGGAATTACAAAGACTATGACTAGAAAAGCCATACCATGCAACTCACTACACCTCACTATCTACTATCCTGTTATCAACACTTTGCATTTATGACAATAGTGAAATATCTACTATCTATTTTGTGCTTTAATTTGGGTTTCCAACTGTGTCCAGCTACCAGCCCACTGAGCCACCCATGTCAGTCAAGCTCACAGGGGAAGCAGCCAGCTCTCCAGAAGGCCTCTTCTTGTTCCTATTCCTACCACTGGAGCCACTATTAAACTCTTTGTGAGAAAGAGGTAACTGGGGTAGCTTTTGAGGAAGTTCTTCCAAGAAGGTCCTAAGAGTGGCCACAGAGCCCAGGAGGTGCGGGAGGTTGCTGCTGCTGCTCCCCTCTAATCAAACACCCTGGAGAGACCAAGGTCTGCCATGGGAAGGGTATTGGGAGTAATTCAGGGACTGAGTGCTGCAGTAGAAAATGGTCCCCCTCTCCTCCTCCACTGCCTAGGCTGATGAGCTTCTCTTCCCAGCAGCTGTTACTCTCCAGACTCTCAACCAGAGATCCAAGCCCTGCAGCACATCATTCATTTCAGTGGGCTTCTTCCTAGTCTGCAGGGTGGCAGCAGACAGCTGAGGCAGTGAAGAGAGCAGCTGTAGGGGGCATGGGCATGGGCAGCAGGCCCCACTGACAATCTCAACTCTGAACCCCCTACCAGTTACCTAAACCCCACAGCCACCTACTATGCCTCTAGTGCAGCCTCTGGGCCCCAGGTACACATGAGCACTGGCTCAAGGACAGGGCCTTGGGGTCCAAAGCACAGCTGTGCCGGAAGCAGAGTAGTTCAGAAAGTCACTCCAGGGCCGCTTCCACATCCTTCTCTTCTTCCTCCTCCTCTTCCTCCTCCCCTCCTTCCATAACACAGATTTTACATAACAACCTATCTTTGAAACCTAACCATGTTGAAAAGTGAGGAGTGGTATATATACATTTCCTTATATACACACCGATAACCCCAGTATAGCCATATGAAAACTCAGCATCTAGAACTGCACAGTCCAAACAGTATTCATGAAGTACATGTAATTACTGAGCACTTACATTGAGGCTAATGCAAACAAAAAGCTAAATTTTTAATACTATTAAATTTTAGTTTTAAAACAGATAATTAATGGAAAATTTTAAGTATGTTTGGAATAATTTGGGTATGTAAATCAACACGTTCAACTGTTAATTTTAAGAATTCTAAATACAGATGGGGAGCTCTGGTAGCATAGTGGCTAAGGCACTTGACTGCTCACCAGATGGCTAGCGGTTCAAATCCATCAGCCACTCCTCGGAAGGAAGGTTGGGCAATCCTACTTCCGTAGTGATACTGCCTCGGAAACCCAAGGAGGGGTCGCTATGAGTCAGAGCTGACTTGACGGCACGTAACAACAACAACAACAACAAATACAGATGAAATATTTACTGTAAAATGCACACTTGTTTTAAAAACTTCATACAAAAAAAATGTAAAATGCTGAAAAAAGAAATGTAAAATAGTACAATAGTAATTTTTTCATAGATTGCATAAGGAAATGATATTTTGGATTCAATAGGTTAAATACAATACATAATTAAAATTAATTTCACTTTTTTTTAAATGAAGCTGTTGGAAAGCTTAAAAGTATATATGTGAGAAACATTTTTCTACTGGACAGCAATGGGCTAAAAGCTTATGTATCTAAATGTAGATTAAAGATGCCTTTATGATGCATTAGTTATTAATATTTCAAATACTTCCTGACCTTTTCACTTGATTGTCTTCTTTTCTTTAGTTCAATGAAATCTGTTTCCACCCTTTCTGCCAGCTCTAGTTTCCTCTTGTTTCTTTTAAATGCAGCTAAACTGAATCCTATAAAAGAAACATTAAAAATAACATTTAAGAAAAATTAGGGCAATGGGGTATACAAGATACCCTAAAACCCTTCCCAAAACAAAATCCTTAAGAATGTTAGATAAAGAGGCTTTTTGTATGTGTTTTGTTTTGTTTTGTTTTGTTTTGTTTTCATCGAATGTACATTAAGGTGATAATTGAATAAGAAAAATAACCTAAGGCAAAAAATTTTTTAAAAAGTCAAATCCAGAAAGACAAGTAAACCTCATAGTAGAAGCTACCCAGGGATATCTGCTAATTTATGCCACCACTTCCTTTGCCTTTGAAGAACTCTGCAAAGGGGAGAGGAGCAGCAGCCTGAAAACAATGCAACATGGGAAAACATACTGGAGGTTATCCATACTAAAAGAGGGAACACCAAAAGGTCATAAAGGAGAACTAGAAAGAGCCACTATAACTCCAAAAACTGCAAATTTGCAAGGGTCAGTTTTGGCTCTAAATGTAACGGAGGATTTCTTAGAAAATTCACAGTCAAGATTATTCAATTGTATAGGATAATTTGTATTACCTAAACAAAAAAGTCAAAAGTGATGTCAATATGGTAGTTCTTCAAAATGTCTCCAAACACAAATGAAATACTCCCTGGAAAAAGATACTTTACCATAACCAGGCCTTAAAGAATTCCAATAACATTTCAATAACATGAGCTCATAGCTTCAAAGAAAAGTTCCAAACATATAAGAAATAAACCACCAAGAATAAAATTCAGCCAAATATAAGAAGGCAGAATCTGACCTACGAAGACGTTAGTTACTGGAATAATCAGATGCAAAATATAAAATATGTTTAAATATGCTCACAGAAATAAAAGATATCAAAAATATGACTAAGGAGCAAAAGATAATAAAATGACCAAGAAGACTTTCAAAACCAAACAGAACTTCTAAAACTAAGAAATATAACTTCAATTTAAACCTTGATATTCAGATTTTAAGAGCCAGTGAAATCTAGTTGCTAAGACAAATTACGAACTGGAATATAATACTGAAAATTATTAAAGCTTCCTGAGAATGATGGACTGTTATTCAGTAATTATTCCACTGAGAATAAAAGCCTAAAAATTCTGCATAAGATATGAAAAACACCACCTTGAAAACTTGACAAGAAATGTCAAGCTAAATCCTGGGAGTAAACTGAGGACAAAAGCCAATGGTGGACTTGAATTTGGTTAAATGATGTCAAAAGGAGGCATAAGTCAAGGCTTACTTCCCATTTAAGGTCGGCAATTTTACATAATACATTCCTCTACATAAGCTAGGTAATGAAAGGGTTAATTCTTTCATCCTAAAGATAATTCAGGAGCTCTGGTAGCATAGTGCCTAAGGCACTGGACTGCTAACCAGAAGGCTGGAGATTCAAATCCACCAGCCACTCCTCAGAAAGAAGATTGGGCAATCTACTTTGGTAGTGATACTGCCTCGGAAACCCGAGGAGGGGTTGCTAAGAGTCAGGTCAGACTCTATGGCACGAAACAACAACAACAAAGATAATTCAGAATTAAGTAAGTCCATCCCCACTCCCTATCCCAATACCAAGCACATGCAAGAAAGATTATCCTAGGTCATAACACAGAATAGGGGAAAAAAAAGAGGGGGGTGGATTTTGGGGTGGGGGGAATCTATCCCTGAGAAGTTGTATACTAATGTGAACTGGAAATTATTAACAGAAAGGTAAGAGTAAAATTTCCAAATCTTGGAAAAACATACTTCTATACAATCCACGGGTCAAACCATAAGGTAAATTTAAAAATGCATTAAGTTGAAAAGAATTAAAATGTTGTCACATATCAAAATTGTGAAGCACACTTAAAGCTGTTGTGAGAAAGATGTATATATCAGAAAAGAGATAGTCTCGAATAAATAATCTAACTTCCTACTTCAAGAACCTAGAAAAGAACTGCAAAAGAAATTCAGATCAATCAGGCAGAACTAAGAAAATAACAAGGGTAAATGTCAATAAAACTGAAAACAGAAAAACAGCAAGGAAAAAGCAAAGAAGCAAAGACCTGATTGTTTCAAAGTATCAAGTGACAAAACAGTAGCAACACTGCAGTGGGGGGAGCATACATAAATTGCCTGTAGGAATGAAAAGGGATGTCATTACAGAACCTACAGACAGACAGCAAAAGGATAATAAAGAAATATTATGAAAAACTACATATACATAAGGATCTCTGGTAACCCAGAAGCCTGGTGGTTCAAACCCACCAGCCACTCCTCAGAAGAAAGGTTGGACAATCTACTTCCACAGTGATACCGCCTTGGAAACCCAAGGAGGGGTCGCTATGAGTCGGTCCGACTCAATGGCACATAACAACATATATACATAAATTTGACAACCTGGATGAAATGGATTAATTCCTCAAAGAATATAGACACCACAACTTGCCCAATATGAAATAATGGGAGTAGCCCCATTAATATTAAAGAAAATGAGTTTGTACTTAAAAACCTGCTCCCTCCTATAAAGGGAAAGGAAAAAAAAAAAAACCTGCCCCAAAATACAACAGACACATATCACAGGTGGCTTTATTGGACAGCTCTACTAAGCACTTAAAGAATTAACACCAATTCTTCATGATTTTCCCAAAACAAAAAAGAAGAGAGTATCATTTTTTTTATGAAGCTAGTGGCTAGTGGCTGACTGAATGTGAAGAGTGCCTGAAGGATGTAGTGATGAACACCAAAAACTACAGCTTCAGTACAGATTATATCTCAACATAAAGAAAATAAAAATTCTCATAGAACTGGACCAGTAAAAGCAACATTATGATAAACAGAGAAAATATTGAAGTTCATAAGGATTTCATTTCACTTGGATCCACAATCAACATCCATGGAAGCAGCAGTCAAGAAATCAAATGATGTTATACAGGGTTGGCAGAATATGGGCCTCTCGAAGAGTATGAAGGGATGGACACTGGGAGGAGGTAACTATGGGGAGGAAGTGGGAGGGGATCTGCTGCATTGTAAATTTTGGTCAATGACATGAGACAAAGTATATGTGAACTGCTGTATGAAAAGTGAATTTACTCTGTAAATCTTCACCCAAATCCTAATAAAAAAAAAAAAAAAAAAAAAAAAAAAAAAAAAAAAAAAAAAAGAAATCAAATGATGTATTGCACTGGGCAAATCTAAGCAAAAGATCTCTTTAAAGTGTTAAAAAGCAAAGATGTCATTTTGAGGACTAAGGTGCACCTGACCAAAGCCACGGTATTTCCTGTTGCCTCATAGGCAAACAAAAGAAAGAAAATGAATAAGGATGACTAAAGATAAATTGATACATCTGAATTATGGTGTTGGTGAAGAATACTGAATACACCCTGGAATGCCAGAAGAATGAACACAAACGTCTTAGAAGTACAGTCAGGATGATCCTTAGAAGTGAGGATGGCAAAACTTTATCTTAAGGAGTTTGAACATGTTATTGGGGGGGGTGGTCAGTGAAAAAGAGAAAGACCCTCAACAAGATGGTTTAACAGTGGCTACCACAATGGGCTCAAACACAGCAATGATAGTGAGGAGAGCACAAGACTAGGCAAAATATCATAGGAACAGGGTTGCTGTGAGTTGGAACTTGCTGAATGGCATGTAAGAACAACAGTGTTTTCCTGATACCAAAACCAGTCAAAAATAGTACAAGAAAATAAAATTACAAAACAATGCATTTGATGAAAATAGGCACCAAAATTTTATGAATATTAACAAAGAAAATTCATCAATACATAAAATGAATATACACTACAATAAAGTGGGGTTTACTGCAGGATACAAACCTAGTTCAATATTTGAAAGTTAATCAATAAAATCCACTATATAAACAGAGTAAACATGACACATCGCATGATCATGTCAATCAGTGCAGCAGAAAAAGCATTGGACAGTTTCTAACACCCACTCATAATTTAAAAAGAAAAAAAAAACTTCTCATAAAAACAAGAAAAACTTCTTCAACTTAAAAGATCACCTACCGACACAATGACAAAATAAACAAAAAACACTACCGTTAACATAATGCTTAATGTTAACATAATACTATTAACATAATACTGAATGCTTCCCCCAAGATCAGGAAAAAGGTAAGGATGTGTATTCTCATTGCTTTTCCTCAGCATAGGGCTAAGACTTCTAGCAATTCTACCATGCCTGAAAAAGAAATAAAAGGCATATGGTAGGAAAGGAGAAAAATAATTCTGTCCCTATATGCAGATGGCAGTAGATTGTTTACATTGGTGAAAAAAAGAGGAAGAGGCAGAATCTACAAAACAAAATTCCTCAAACTCATTTTAATATGAGAAACTCTGAAAAAATCAATTATGCTTCTATGTTTTGGCAAGGAACGTATGTACACCAAAATTTAAAATATGCTATACCCAGAAGGCTGGCGGTTCAAACCCACCAGCCACTCCTCGGAAGGAAGGTTGGGCAATCCTACTTCCGTAGTGATACTGCCTCGGAAACCCAAGGAGGGGTCGCTATGAGTCAGGGCCGACTCGACGGCATATAACAACAACAACAACATACAATTTTTTTAAAAAATGAAACACTTAGGTGTGAATCTAACAAAGCATACAAAAGATGTGTAATCTAAATATTACCAAAGGCAATGTAAGAAATCAAAGAAGACCTAAATTAAAGGAGAGATATATAACGTTCATCTTTTAGGAAACTCAGTTAAGATTTCCATCATCTCTAAATTGATATATGAAATTCCTACCAAAATACAAGCTAGATATTTCTGGAGCTATAGACAAGATTATTCTAAAAATGGCATGAAGAGACAAAGCAACTAGATTAGCTAAAGCAATTTTGAAAAAGAAGAAAAAAGTGAGAACACTCACTCTCTAAATTTAGGACCTACAATTACATTAATCAATATTGTGTGACACTGAGGAGGAATAGACACATGGATCAATGGACATAATGAAAAAACAAGAAACAGACATACACAAATATGCC